CCTTTTCCAAATTCTGGCCCCAATGTGGCCGCTAAGCTCGTTCAGATAGACACGAACTTCGCCGCGCAATTTGCCGCGCGCATCCTCGGGCGCACGTAAGTTCCGCCCCCCCTCCACTGGGTCTGTACAATAACATAAGGAGTAGGGAGCCCGCCGCAGGTTCGCGACATGGTTGGTAATATTTGATTGAATAAGTAGTTCATTTAATTGGTTATGCCCTTCATGTCGGCAGAATGGCATTGGCACATTAATGTACGATATCAAGAGGACGGGATGGATGATGTTCGGCGAGTTCCTGGCGACCGGTAACAACGGATAAAAAGACCTAAAGGGTTAGAACTACTAGATCCATTGCCAAACTCATATCAAGACTCTTTAGAGTTCGATGTACGGCGCGACCGAGTCGTAGAAGATGGGCGACGGAAAACGGATATAACAGCTGACAAGATGGTCTAAAAGGCAAGGATCCGGTTCGGAGAGGAGGTTCATCAGCTCAGTGAGAAAGGCAGGTGCTCCTCGAAATTGTAGCACTGGCAGCAGCTATCGTAAAAGTGGTAGCATGAAATTGATGATGATGACCCAAATCGATAAATACCAGTAGCAGTGACAATGACTGATCTTAATCAAAAATGTGGGATTGACCGCTTTACTATGCTCACGATGGCACGATTAACAAAGACAATGAAAAGATTAACAACGATATATCAGGTTCTAAAAACCCGATGAGAATTAGGTTTTGCGTCACATGATTCCGAACTCATTGGCAATAAAACTCATTAGGTCGTCAATCTTTTCGAAAACTTGACAAATTTTGGGTATGAGCCAGGATAGGTCCATGACTTTTAGTGACCATGGTCTATGACTGAATGACAAGGGACACATGACATATTCCTCAGAGCAACAGTTTTTCGCCTTGATTGAAAGCCGGATGTTACGAGCAGAGGTGGCATGTGGCATACTTTCACATGTATATGGCCTTGAAATCGCTCATGGACCGATACTCACCCAGAGCCTTCCATGCCTTTTGGGGCGGCTGATCTATATCAGACCTTACAGCGGTACCAAAATCGCTGATTTGTACATGCGCTAGCCAATGCAACTCACTGCATAAACCACAAACAGTACTCGCCGAAAGAACTCGAAAAGTCACGCGAATACCGCGGACTCGCGTCTTTTCCATCTTTTCGCCATTCTTTGAGCTCAGCTCGTCGAGCTCTACAAGATGATACCCTGAAGTGTTGGAAATGCTTCATTTTGGATTGCGCCATGCACTTGAGTTCCATCCGAAAAGTGNTTGCATGTACATGGGGTGCACGGTTTAGCGGTTAGAGGCGCTGATTGGTCCCTGAAGGTGACATATTCAGAATTTGCTTTGGATTGCGCCACGTACTCGACTTGACTCAGTACAATGTGAAAATGATTGATCGTTTTTGTTCACTCTCCATCATTCATTTCTTATGTGGAGACTGCATCTACGGTTTCTGCACTCAATACTCCTCCTTGCAGGTTCCACTGGGAATATGACATCAATTTATGGCAAAATAACAGAGTCGATCTTTTTGACATTTTCCAATTTCAGGAGGAGTTTTTCTCCGGAATCTGAGGAGGTGGCAGCGTGGCACTCTATCATCGTAGACGACTCTTTGTCCTCTGCAGGGGAGTTTTGATACACCTTATCATAGATCAAAATTTCTCTCTCAAAATGGCACTAAACTTCGCTCTTCGTCATATCCAAATCATAAAATTGTGTTTTTTGCTTTTTCATTGAAAGAGGAGTATTCTAGGAGCCGAAGATCGCGTTGAAGTTAGATTGTCAAACTCTATGAGGAGATACCGTAAAGAAATGGAAATAATTCATGTTGCCGCTCGCTCGCCTTCTCACCACCGTCACTTCAGATCGCCTCAAAACTCCCATTCAAACTGCTCCACCTTCACGCCACTACAGTACCCCGTCTACTGCAGATCTTATCGCCCAGTCACCATTCAAAGTAACCCCTTTTCTTGGCAGTTCAGTACCCCGCTACCTGCAAATCTGACCCTCCCCCCATTCAAATAATAACTATTCAAAAGCCAACCATTACAGCACCCACCCGCCTGCAGATCCAGGTCCCCATTCAAGTAGTCACTCTTTGAAACCGCCTTGAGCCGCCGGCCATACGAGACCCCACCGCCCGCGAGTCGAAGTCTTCCAAAACCACCCTTCAAACCCCGCGCCGCTACAGTACCCGGTCACATGCGTATCCAAACGCCCGACAGGAAAGCGCCCAGAGGCAAGCATACGGCAGAAAACGGTTGTGAAGGGAGGTTTTCATTGCTGGTTGACCCAAATATGATTCGACGGCATTTTTTACGGGGAATCTAGCAGTGTACAACTTGGTTGCTCCATTGACCTTTTTGCAACTAAGTTGTACGAAGTTAGATTCATCGTGAAAGGCAAAAAAAAACATAATTTTGTGATTTGGAGATGACGTAGAGCGAAGTTTGGGTCCATATTGAGAGAGAAATTTTGACCTATGATAATGTGTATCATAACATCCTTGCAGAGGACAAAGAGTCGTCTACGATGATAGAGCGCCTCGCTGCCACCACCTCAGATTCCGGTGAAAAACTCCCCCTAAATTGGAAAATGTCAGAAAAATCGACTTATTTTGCCATAAATTGATGTCATATTCCCAATGGAACCTGTATAGAGGAGTTTTGAGTGCAGAAACCGTAGATGCAGTCTCTACAACCTCCACATTAGAAATGAATGATGGAGACTGAACAAAACCGATCAATCACTTTCACATTGTACTGAGTCGAGTCGAGTACGAGGCGCAATCCAAAGCGAATTCTGAGCACATCGCCTTCAGGGACCGTTCAGCACCTACAAGCACTAAAGCATGCACCCCATGTACATGCAATCACTTTTCGGATGGAACTCAAGTGCATGGCGCAATCCAAAATGAAGCATTTTCAACAGTTCAGGATATCATCTTGTAAAACTCGACAGCTGAGCTCAAAGGTATTATTACCTCCTTAGATACTCCACTCTGAACCGACTCATGGCGAAAAGACGAAAAAGACGCGAGTTCGCGGTATTCGCATGAATTTTCGAGTTCTTACGGCGAGTATACGCGTTCAAAACTACGATCTCG